TTTAAACAAAAACTTGACTTCTGTTAATTAAAAAAGTCAAGAAATATCTTTTTTATCTATAATAATAAAGTTTTTAAAAAAAATTAATAATACAGTATAATATTAAAAACTTATCTTTTAAAGCAAAGAGTATATATAAATAGTTTTTATAGAAGGTAAATATGTAAATATTAAGTCTAAATCTTAAAAACTTTTCTATTTACTGTTTTTATCCTTTTATTATTATTTATTTTTTAGATGTTTTGAATATTTTTACCTAATTTATTTTAATCCTAAATTTTAAAATGAATCAAATTTTATTAAAAATAATTAACTAATATAAAACAATTAACAATAAAACATAAACAAGCTTTTATTTATTATATTATACAGTATATCTTAATGATATTACTGATAAGAAAAACAAAAACCAAAAGTATAAACTTCTCTATTTTTTTAAATAAAATATAATTGAAGTAAAGAAGCTATAGAATTATTAGAATAGGTACTATATTTTTTAAATAATGAGAAAGTAATAATTTGTTTAAGTTAATATTTTTACTTTTCTAGTATTTTTAATAAGATAAAATATACAAAAGAAATTATTTTCTTATTCTGATCAAGTATTAAGTCTAAAAAGTAGAAGAATATATATTATTTTTCTTCTCAATAAAAAAAAATGTTAAGCAGAATGTTAAATTTAAATAGGTAATAAATATTCCAAATAATTATAATAAATTATATAGGGCAACTCTTTCTTCTGATTATACACAAAAAAGACATTTATAAGAAATTTTATATTTCTTAATTAATAAAGTCTTATAACTTTCCTTAAGTCAACTTGAAGGAACCCTTCAAGAGTCATCCTTATCTCCTCCTTTTTTTTTGTAAACAATCTTCTTCAAACAAAAATCTAACTTTCAATAACAAAAGTTATAAATATACCTTTCCTACCAACAGCAAAAAAGTTCTGAAAGAAAGAAGAACTGAAGTGCTGCTATCTACTTACTTATTGGAGAAACATTACAGAGTTTATCTGGTAATGAGAAACTTATTATAAAGGCAATCACCCATTCTCTTGTCATGTATTTGCTCTAAAAGTTCTCTTTCTTAGTTTTTCTGGAAAATTTTGCCTACTTCAGTTTGATTCTGAATCTTGAGTAACATAAAGTTTCTCAAGTAGTAATTGATCAGTAGAAAATATGTCAATAAAGGAATATAAACAAGTTTCCATTGATTATCTCACGTATCTAAATGCATTTTCTTAGTATCCATAAATACCTAGGATTTACTATAAGTCATTTGTTTGAGGGCAGATGGATACAGGACATAAATATCTATAACGTTATTGGTTATATGGAAAAAATAGTGCTAGATTAGGACACATTGGATAGAAAACATCAGCTTTCTACTTCTCCTCTTCTACTCCAGTGAACTCAAGTTAAAAGAAAATGACCTTATGGAATAAAATCCTTTTAGAAGAGTTTTGGATACCTATTATCTTTTCTTTGAAAACATATCTGTTACCTTTTTAAACAATAAAGTACCTCTCCATAAATAATACTAGTTAACTTTTTTTTTTATAAAATTTTTGGTTAAGTACTAGTGAAGGTTAAAGCTTCACATAAGAGATCTTCAACATCGGTGGTGATGAGTACTTCAGGTGAATTTTTGGCACATTAGCTCTCTCTTTAGGAATAGCAATAAGCCACCTGGTGGATTAAGACCTGAGCCATATTTCTAGGAAGTATCTAAGTATAAAATAGAAAAGTAATATAGTTTGTATATCATTCTTCTTATTATTTTTAGAATTTTATTTTTGCAAATAGTTAATCTAGGCTAGACAGTTATGTAATTATCTTATCCTGATTGGATAAGATGTAAATAGTTAGCTCTTTATACTATTTGTTGCTCTGTAAATCCTTAGATGGTATGGATAATTATTTATCCCAGTTGTTTTTAGATTTTTTACTTACTCAAATAAAATATGCAACATATAAGGATGAGCTAGTGTCTTAAAAAAAAAAAAAAAAAAAAAACTTCAAATAATTATAAAAAAATAATCAAGGTTTTAAATAGATAAGTTTCTTAGATAGTCAAAAAAAATATTTTTTAGAAAAGTTTATTTAATATGAAGATATTTTTAATAGAAATTCTTTGAAAAATATAAAGTATAAAATTTTTTTTTCTTTTTTATATAATACACTTGTATATTTTTAAAAATTATTTTTCTTTTATTTTTTTTTTCCCTATAATACTATAGTTTTTCAAAAATCAATTTCTTAAAGAATAATATATAGTGATAATCTGTCAACAATAATATTTAAATTAGAAAGGTATTTATCTAAAATCTGTTATAGAGTAAAATATTGTTTTTAAGATTATACTTAAAGATTAAAACTTTTTTAAAAATTGAAAACTATTGAAAAATAAGTCAGTATAAAGTTTAGTTTATCTATAATATAATTATTAAATATATTATATATTTATCAGTTTTTATAATTATTAATAAATATATTATGCTAGTTTAACTATAAATAATAAAATAAAATAAAATAATAAGAAATAGTTTAATCTTAAAAACAATAAAATTAAATATTATAAAAAAATTAAAATTGAAGAAAAAATGAATATTAAAAATATAGGCTTGTAGATCTATAGTACAGTGAGTATACTTCCAGGTTATTACCTGTAAGGTATTAGTTTAATTCTACTCAAAAATGGTTCTTGCAATATAAATTATATTATGCAAGATACATGTTAATCAGCTATATATTAAACAATCTATAGAAACTTATTGTTTGACCATAGTATAAAAATTAAATTATACAGATTCTGGTCAGTTTTAGTATTAGGAGAAAAAAGATCTTTACTATTCAGAGTATATAAAGATATCTAGATAGTTGAAAAAGATTCTGATTGATCCAAATCTTCAATGAAAATATGAATATTCATTTTTTTTAAAAAAACATCCTTATATGAGATATAGAAGACTTCATTATTTATATCAATTAAAAATATAATAAACCATAATAAATTTGAATTAATGAAAAATATTATAGTTTATGAAACTAATGACTATTAGAGAAGACAGTTGATAGCAAGATTAGAGATTAACATTAGTATTATGATGAAAATTATAATAGGTAGATGTATTTGAGAGAGACTTAAGGCCTCAATTAATCAAGAAAAGGATTCATTATCAGATTTCTTATTTTAATCTTCAAAAGACTATGATATATATTTCTTGATATGGTCTTATTTGTTTTTTGATAATAATAGATACTATTAATGATCCTTACTATATACAGTTCTTTAAGGGTTGGTTCAAATTTTGATTTTTTTCATACATAATAATCATATATTGATATCTTAGTGGTTCAATGGTATGCTACACAGGTGACATATAGTCTTTCATTGTGACCATTTTTAATCATTCTTAAGATATGATCTACAGAAAGTACAGAATACTATAGGCCTGAGCAGAGTAGGGCAACTAACAAAAATGGTATCACTATGTGATAAAATTGATATATTTGAAAGTTAAAATAGGATTATATGAATTGCACATGTAATCTGAAAAATGTACTACTGAATACCTCAATAAAAGCTTCATCCTGTCAGTTGAACTAGTTAAAAAAAAAGAATATTAAAAATACAAAAGAATGCCTTGAAATATAGAATGAAAGAATGAAAGAATGAAAGCAAACCTATAGAATATTCAAAAGCAATAAATTAAAATAATCTCAAACAATTTTGTCAAAAAAATTCTATTAAAATCAAGAATTACAAAAGATAAAAGAAAAAAAATAATAATAATTCTAACAAATGGAATTAGATATAGGATAAAATGGTTGAGATTTTAATCTAAGTGGAATTTGATAAAGTGATCTCAGTGACTATCGAAAATTTCTAATGAAACGAAAAATCACATTCAAGGTTGCACTTAGAATTTTAAATAAAAACGATTAGAGATTTAACGTTAACATAAAATATACAGTATGTACAGTTTTTTTTGTCACAAAATTTTCAATTTTAGTGCGCAATTGTATCATTTTTTAAAATTTGACAAAAATACCTAATAATTTAACCATTTTTGAACCTAACCTCATGAGTCTCTATTTTATTTTGATAGTAATTGTGTCCATAGTTGGAAGCGCAAGATACAGTATCACAGGACTTAGGTTGTACAAACAAGTTACCAAAAAAATCAATTTAACAGGCTTATTGATCAATTTAACTCCGTAACGCCATGCCACTTTTATATAACGATTCTTTATTGAAGTCGCCTTGTTTTTCAGCAAACGCGTTGTATACGAAGCTTTTTAATGTAAGATGTCATCACACGTCATGAGTAACCAAAACATTGTCATTAATATAAAAACGAGACTTCTCACCTATTGAAAATTTATCAAGAATCGTATTTCATATTCATTTCTACAGCCAACTGTCCAAAATAAATGTTTCAAATGAATTGTGTCATATTCTTTTTAATAGCATTTCTAATATGCATTTTCTTAAAATTCGCCAAGCAAAAAAAAGAAATCATTCCAATTTCTGTAAATTATCATTTCACTAGAAATTGTAATTATGAATGCGGTTTTTGCTTTCACACAGCAAAAAACTCCGACATTCCTTCTCTGGAATCCTCAAAATCTGTTCTCTACAAACTAAAGAAGGCGGGAATGAAAAAATTAAATTTCGCAGGTGGCGAACCATTTCTCTATCCAAGATACTTGGAGTCTTTACTTCAATATTCCAAGCAATCTCTTGATCTAGAGTCGGTTTCAATTGTTAGCAATGGAAGCAAGATCACTAAAAAATTCCTCGAATCAAACAAAGACAACATTGATATTCTCGCGATATCATGTGATTCGTTTGATGAATCAACGAATATCAAAATAGGCAGGGGCAAAGGAAACCACGTAGAAAAATTGTATAAAATAAGCGAATGGTGTAGGGAATACAACATAAAGTTTAAGTTAAATACCGTGATAAACAAATTTAACTATTCCGAAGATATGAATAAATATATTGAGGTGTTGCAACCGTTTCGATGGAAATGCTTTCAAGTTTTGATAATCGATAACGAAAATGGCGGGGAAAATACACTAAAAGATGCACGAAAATTCGTTATTAGCAATCCTGAATTTGAGGAATTTGTGAAGAGACATAGTGAACAAAAATGTATGGTGGTAGAGGGAAACGAAGTCATGAGGAACTCGTACTTGATATTGGATGAAAAATTGTGTTTTTTGAATTGTCAAGGGAACGACAAGAAACCGAGCGACTGTTTATTAGAAGTTGATGTTGAAAAGGCATTGAGACAGGCCGGATGGGATCAAAATGCATTTTTAAAGAGGTCCGGTGTTTATGAATGGACCAAAAATATCAAACCGAGTTGTGGCGGGGATAATAAGAAATTATATGATTGGTGAACACGCTATTATAATGAATCGTAATATGTATACTTTTAATCTTTTATAAATTGCATTAATATTGATATTATTGGCTACTTTATTCTTTTATTCAATCTTTTACTACTTTATAATAATAAAATTATTTTTTATTTTTTTTCTATACTTTTTATAGTATAGGCTCATATATTAAATATTTTAATATATAGTTTATGATCTTTTTCTAATAATTATATATTATATATTCAATTTGTTTATATAGATCTAGTCTTATTACTATTTTTTTTTTATGCTAGTGAAGTTAAAACTTTACTGAACTTTAAAAAACAGAGAAAGAAAATTTCTATAATTGTATATTTAAGCTATTTATACAATAAAGTATTACAATAGAAGAACTTTTAATGAAGTATATTACCTTATAGCTAGGTTACCTCTTTCGGATAAAAAAGAACTAATCTAGAACCTAACTAGTGCTAAAATTAAATTTTAAATTGTAAAAATAGGAAAAGGAAAAAAAGAAGTATATATCAAATTAGGATCTATTTCTATTTATATTTCCTATCTTACTTAAATACAGAAATTCAAATTTGAAGAAAACTATATAAGTTTAAATAGGGGTAAAAATTTTAAATTACAAAAAAATTACCAAAGAAAAAAAGAAAAACAATATGAATATGTGACTATTGTCTTATAGTTTTTATCTTATTTCTATTATATTATATCTAATATGGAATTACTATAGGTGTTTCTTCAAGTGATAATAAGTTGAGAGGTTTCAAATAGTCTTCTTACTATTAGTTTTATTAAAATTAAAAATTTATTATTAAGTATATTAATAAAAAAAGCTTTTTTAAAAAAACTTTCAATAAATATATTTTTATATACTATATACAGTATTTATATATTAGTTTTTCCAATGCAAAATTTTATAAATACTTATTGATCCAATACTTATTTACTTTATTTTTTATTTATTCTATCTTATTTAATTTATTGTTTTATTATTTACTTTTTTATTAAATTATATAATTAAACTATTTATAATTATTGTATTTTTATAAAAATTTTATTTGAAATAAATTTTTTTTATTATATTATTAAAGTTTTAATACTTTTTTAATTAATATATTTATTACTTTATTATATAGATATTATAATAAACTTTCATATAAATTTTAAACTCTTTTCTGTAGATCACTGATCGCTACTTCCAAAGAAACATTTCTTTAAAACTTTATATTTTAAGAGTAATAAAATTTTAAACCTTTTTTTAAAAACATTTGTCTTACTTAGCAACAGTTATATTTTACCCTTCTTATTTACTTTTTCTTTTTAAAAACTCTCTACCTAAGAAGTTAATAGCAAAAAAGCTTTTCTAGGAAGAAACCAAATGAAAAAATACTCTCTTTCTCTTCTCTATGAAGGTCCCAAAGTCTAAAAAAAAGTGTAGGCCAACAACTCTATGTCAGCCTAAAAAATTGATATTAATACCACAAGTAGAAATGACTTCTCCTTCAATATGCAATAGTTCTTTTTCAGTTTTTCTGAGGGATTTTGTTTACTCTAGTTTAAATCTGAATTTTCTGTTACACTGAATTTTGGATAAATTGATTGGTTGAAGATTGGAATTGATTGCTTCATGATTAGCAGAAATACAAATAAGAATACATATGACTAATGATGGGTCCCTAAAGTATTTAGCATATAAAATTTCGCAGATCACTTATGTTTTTTTTTTGAGGGACAAAATTCATGGCTCTTTACTTTAATAGGGACAAAAATTAGGAAATGCTATAAATTAATGATTTAAATAATAAAGAACAATTATGGATAGTTTTTTTATAGTTATTAATTTAAAAATTTTAATGTTTCCTAGTGAGGGACATTTGAATTATGTCTCTGCCTCCCCCTTTAGGGACTCATCTTTACATATAACACATGATGTGAATGCATTTTCTAAGCTCTATAAGAACTTTGGGTCCATTATAAGTTATATTTTAGAGATGCAAGTGGATAAACATTACATGAACTATGATCTCCTCTCTCTTATTACTCTCTAAAAGTATCATAACTATGGAATAAGTATCTCTTTTATTGGAATAAAAGCTCAAGAACTTATATTACTCATGAAGATACAACCATTCTTCCATTTCAAAATTATTCCAGAGTTTTTTTATTCTAATTCAAATAGTTTTTTTACTCTCGTATAACACAAAAAATACTATTGAACTCACGCTCTTTCTCTGAATACACTCAGTATTGGTGACAGGTCATAATTACTAGGATTAAAAGAAAAATATATTTTGTCTTTCCTGAAACTAGCAAATTTACCATGACATGTTAGTTGAGAAGGATCCGAAAGAATTGAAAATCCAATAAGGAGTATCTAGTTTTTTTCTATATAGTAATAATAGTAGAAATTTAATCCAACCGGATATCTCTAAATAATAAGCTGCCTGGTAAATCCATTAAAGATCAGGTTTTAGGGAGTTTAGTAACATAAATAATATATGGCTCCATATAACAACTTTTGTAATCTCTGCATTAATTTGTATATTACTATATTAAAGTTAATAAACTAGCTGAACTTTTATTCCAAAAAAAAAAATTATAATAAACTTTGATTTTGTAAGCTTTAACTTGATTTTTTTTTATTGTCTTTAGTATTTTTATAAAAAAAAAATCAATTTTTTTAGTTGTCTTTTATATATTGTTTTTAAATTTTCTTTTTCTAATTTTTTTTTATTTTTTATTATTTATTATTTATTATTTTTTTTTAAATGAGCTCATGTCTAATCTTTATTAAATTCCAAATTACATTTTATACAATTGCGCAAAGTGCATATACAGGGGTATATATTCAGGGTGAATAAAGAATTCGATAAGCTAAAATTACTTCAAGACTTATTACTCTCTTTTTACAAAAAAATTTACATCCCACTTAGCATGCAGGTATTATTAAAGAAATAAAAAAGAAAAATAAAAGAAATGGGTATGTACTATTTTGCAAAGGTAACTATGATGTTTCTCAATAAATGTCTATTCTGTTTTTGAATTCCTTTTTTAATAGAGATCCGGAGAGCTTCTTTTGAGTCTTTATGAAAATAAGGTATAGATAAAGAGAAAGACTATACAGTTTTAAGACTTGTGAAGAGGGAATAATCAAGAAGACCTAGATGGTATATTGGTATCTGCATAAATGACTTGAAAGTCTCCTAGTATATCATCAATTAAATCCATTTCTATTTAAATATGAGTATACTTACCTATTTGTGCAATATATTTCAGATTTAATTCCTTATAGAAGAACTATACTTAGCCTTGTAGTTAATATATCCTGCTAGTGGTTATTGATATTAGTGATTATTGAGGATCTCTCAGATTATCTGACCAGCTCACACATCACTACTGACATTTTTGGACTTGAGTTTTAATTTGTGTAGTGGTATTAATCTTCCAGTCTTCTAGCTTGAAATTTTTTAAAAATAGAATGAAAATTTCCTGGTTTACTATGCACACTAACTTTACTACTGAGTGTTCCTAATTATCTTCTTTACTTTTTTTTATTGGACTTTTCCAAGCAGTAGAAGCAGAAACCTACCTGACATATAATCAGGAATAGGTGGCTTTAATTTTTAAAAAGAAACAATTGAGTATCTTGTAACCTTTGTCATGATTAGACAGTCTTTTTTTTGTATCCAATGATATATCAGATGCTTGTCCTGTATCCACTTACACTAAATACTATAACTTATGGTGAACCCCAGGTTTTTATAGAGTTAAGGAAATACATTCAAACATATAAGATGATCAATAGAAGCTTATTTATCAAATTTGTCCAACATGTTTCATGTCAACCAATCAGGATTGGTAAGATCTGTGCTACCCAAAATTTCAGAATTAAGCTGGGATAGGCAAATTTTCCCAAAAGCTATAAAAAAGTTAGATCTGAAAGGTCACAGAGCCAATCAAAGAGTGGATAAATAAGTCTTTTGATTGGAACAAAAACCTTTATTATCTCTATCATGGCTGAGAGATGAGAGTACTTCATTGTTGATTATTTTCTCTTTAGTAACTTTCTTGCTATAGATAGTAAAGGTGAAAAAGGAGGTGAGAGAGTTCTGAGAGAACTCTTTGAGTTGATTTAAGAAAAGTAGTAAGACTCTTTTAGCATAAAAGTATAGAAACTTCTTATGAATATCTTTTTTGTGTGTGGTTAGAGGATTAGCAGAAAGATATGTGTGAATTTTTTTTTATTTAAATATAAGTTTGACTATTTACAGTATATAGATTTTAACTATTCTATTTATTAATATTATTAAAAATAGCATTTATTATTATTAATTTAGCTTTTATTAATATAGTTAATTATTAATTTCAATTTGAAATATATAGTGTGTAACAAATTTTTTTAGAATTCTTTATTTATTCATAACTTAATAAAAAATTATCTAAATAATATAAAAATTTAAATATATATTTTT